CCCTTTCTTAAATCATACTTTGCTTTTTTGATAAGATTAATGTCATTTGAGACAAATGCAGAATTTCGTTGATTAATTAGATTTTTAACATTACTATTGAACCATGGATTTTGGTTTGAATATGACTTAACCTTTACATTGGGAATACATAACTCTTCACAAAACTTAATATAAGCAACAATTGACTCTGTAGACTCATTGATATCATCATTGAAAAAAGTACACCAGTCCGTGCATTCAAAGCAACCTTGCAGCGATTCCATTGCCAGCGGCGTCCACTTACGGAAGGTTTTTGTTGTGGTCTTACCGCGTTCCAGTTGTCTTCTGTATGCCGGAATAAGGTAAACCATATTATGGTCTGACTCACCGAGTGGCGGTCGCTTCAACGAACGGTATGCATTCTTTACGTTTGTGTAACAATGGTCGAGCGTGTTATTGTTCCTGGTTGGCACGGAAACATGTTGATATAGTTTTGGAAGCTTGTTTTTCAAGTTTACACGATTGAAGTCACCACATATAATTGACGTTGCTCCAGGATATTTTGTTTCTGTGGCAGTAAAAGCGTTTGCTAACTTGGTTGTTGCTTCGACGGTATTCACTTCAGGGGATATGTACACGACCGAAATTATTAGTGCGGAGAACTCTCGAGGGAAATAGAAGGGACGACATTTTACCGTAAGTACCTCAAACTCCGAAGTACAGATACTATTGATGATTTTGTTGTCCGTACTCCATCTATTGTTTACAAGGAGACACACACCACCACCACACGATTTTCCAACTTTCCGGAAGTCACGATCAAGACGGTATAAGCTGTATCCCGGGGGTGTAATTGCTTGATCGGGAACCAGCCAGGTTTCCGTCAGTGCATAGGTGCAACAGTCCTTGTATTCCTTTTTGCAATTTATGTTGCAAAGCAGTTCATCGTACTTACTACAGATTGATCGCACATTGGCCAAGTATATAGTAGGTAGCGGCAGTCTATGTGAGTGGCGACGAAGCCTGGCAAGCAGTCCGCCTCGCCGGCCTCTTTTCCGCTGTTGGATCTCTTTTATTCCCAATGGCTCAGGCGATCGGGGGCCTAGTAAAATATCGTCAGGAAAGACATTAAGTCTACAGATTGGGATCACTGGTGCTGCTGGCCTAAGTCTTAATATCTCATCTTTGGAGTAAGTGATAGTGGAGTGGACGTCAATAATGAGATATGATAACAACGTACAAAAACAGTGGCCGTCGTCGTGCTTCATTTTTAGGGGCACCAAGGCCAACTGAGAGGGCACCGTCGGCAATGGCTGCAGTGGCTGCCGTTAAATTTGAGGCTTGATGTTATGTTTTGAACACAGAATTCAAGCAAGCAACATATAGTATTGGAACGTTTTACTTTCAATACTGATTGTAAAAAAAATATGACAACCCACTCACTTTCCAACCACCACCTACTTAAAAAGAAACATACACTAACTGGCTAACCGGAAACGCCATTTATTTAAATTTATTAGTATACCTGCCAATTCCTTACTTCTGCTGGTTAAACACACAGGAACATTTCACTTTTATAATTGACAAAGAAACACACTTGCCAAGTATTGGTGTTGAAATGAAAATATGCAAATTGTCAACGGTTCTTAGCATCACATATTTAAATATAAAGATGCATTAGACATATTCCCAATCAATTCCCAAAAACTGAAGTTAGTAGATATAAGTGGTATACACTACCAGCAAAACTCCATAGCTTTCCTGGACACCAACATCATCACTATACAAAGATGATGGCCTACAGAAAACCTACTCACACCAACCAGTATCTGCACATATACAGGCCTAACCACCCTTTTCAGCACAAAATTAGTGTGTACTTACAATCTTTTCATCAACAGGCATCTTTCAGCGCTTTCAGGTTATTTTTTGCAACAGGCGCTTTAAAAAATTATTATCATCATTTCCGCCAGGAGATATATGTTTTCAGTCGTGTAAGTTTGTGTGTGGTGTGTCACGTTTTGGTGTTTTCATGTGGTTTTTTTTTTTTTTTTTTGTGTTCGGATCTCAAAAATGGTTACGCAGACATAGCTATAATTAACAGGGAATGTTAGGTATAACCCAACGATTAAATTTTGGTAATGGTCCGGAGTAGGGTGTGGATGTGAGGACCATTTAAAGCATTTAAGAGCAAATATTCTAGACAAGATATTTCAAAAACTAATAAACTGATATGAATGAAATTTTTGTGAAACTTTAACCAATTTACAAGGAAGAAATTATTAAGTGTTTGTTGGTGACGATCCAAATTTTGATGTGAATTTGTGGGTCACTTACTGGGCTCTCCCTAACCGATCTCCAAATCGGCATGGGCGAAAAAATATTTTAGATTAGCGGAAAAAAAATCAACTGCTTTAGCCATTTTGGCGAAAGCTTAAAATCAAAAATAGTTTTAAATACTTGCTACAATACATCGTTTTGTTTCATTTGAGCTCCATTTTTCGCTAACTCATGTGACGCTTACTTGTGTTGTTGTATGAGTAGTCTTGCTGCAAACTTCATTGCATGTCTCGCAAGTTATTTTTTATTTGTAATTGTTATTTTAACGCAGTAGATGCAGGGCAGCGGCTGTATGACGTAGACTAATATGAAGGTACCACTACTGTAGCTTGGGTTTTTCCACTAAAACATAAGGGCTGATGCGATGGTGGTCGAAACAGTATGTCCTAGTATCGATAATAATTTAATCTGTGATTTTGTGTTATCATTAAATACGTAAAATACTGTACATTTAAATAATGTCTATTTTAAAAATGCACTGCGTGGGTCACTTGTGTTGTAGAGAAAATAATTTTGCAAGCAAGAGTAACCTAGCCTAGGGCCTAGATTATCACGGTGACAACTTCGGGTGTGGACGATCAGCCCCAAGCCAATTTTGAATACACTGTAGTCTGGTAAAACCACCACTAGCTCCCAACCCCCGATATCACTCAAAACTAAAAAGAAAATGCTTTTTAGGCCTAGGCCTACATCATTTTTTCAACTTTTGTGATAGGCCTACATATTCAGCCAACTTTCAAAATACCTCATTTATTGGTGTGCTAAAAATATTAATTTGCCTATTAAACAAGGTTATCTCTCCCACCTCCTGAACCTACCAGAGATTTTTTTCTGGTACCCTCATCGAGGCAGGGGTGGATTTAGGAGAAACCAACCACCCCCCCACCCTTTGATGAAGAAATGTTAAAATTTTGGTGACCATCCGGAATAGCGTGTAGATATAGCGTGTGGATATGAGAGCCATTTAAAGAAAAACGTCCATCATCAGATATTTTTAAAAACCAATCAACTGATCTGAATGAAACTTTTCGTGTAAGTTTAACCTAGCTACAACAAAGAAATTATCAAGTGTTGGTGACGATCTAAATTCGGGTGTGCATTTGAGGGCCATTAACTCCCAGACCTAAATATCTCGAAAATGGACAAATGGATCAAAATATTTTGTCTTGTTTCAATGAAGAAGTGTTTAAATTTTGGTCACCATCAGAAGTTGGCTGTGAGTATGAGAAACATTTAAAAATATGTTTACCATATTACCGTATGCAGAAACAATAGCTATGATGAATATTTAAATCAGTGCAATTAAAGTAAATGTGTAGCATTTTACATGTACTAACTTCACTTTTTCCAGAACTAATTTGGAATATTTAAAGCTAAAAACCACAACCCCATATTTTTACTTGCATAATATTTCAATTTCAACACCAATACATGGCATGTATATTTTTTGACATCTATAAGAGTAAAAAATTCCAGTGTGTGTTAAGCCAGAAGATGTAAGGAATCGGCAGGTGTACAACTAATACAATAAAAGGCGTTTGAAAAATGAAGTGATTATATTTTGATGTTGATATATCTATCATTCAAAGCAAAACATTGCGGATAAGATATCTCACAAACTAATCACCTGATCTGAATGAAACTTTTGTGTTAGTGCAATTTATTTTCAATGGTTGGTGGTTGGAAAGCATTAACATATTTTTAGAGATTTATCTTATAGAAAGGGATTTGCAGTGGGCGGAGACATGCTCTCTACTGAGTGCTCTTGCTAATAATAATAATAATAATAATGACTTTATTTGAGAACGGAAAACTTGATCACAAATTAAATGTGTTTTTCACAAGGCCGTTTCTGAAGTATATAATAACAAAATTTAAATTACAAAAACATTTACAAGACAAACAGAAATAAAGAAGTAAAAGAAACCAAAAAACTATTACTGTATTATCTTATGCAAGGTAATGTTTAACAGAGCGGAAGTAGTTGAGAAATTTGGTCGGAATCCTGATTGCTGTTCATAAATTAAAGGGTCAACGAAAGGATATATCTGATCAAAAACAGTGCGTTCAAGAAGTTTAGATAAAATGGGCAAAATAGACACTGGACGATAATTGCACGATTCTTTGCGATCACCGTTTTTAAAAATTGGACATATCCTTGCGTTTTTCCACAGGTTAGGGAAAGTTCCAGTTTTTAATGACATATTTATTAGGTATGTTATAGGAGCTGTAATTGAATTAATTGCAAGTTTTATTAATTTAGCAGGGATTTCATCCTCACCTGTGGCTTTTTTAAAGGAAAGTTTATTTATTTGCTCATAAATGTACTGGCATTCAACTTCCTTAAAATTTAATTTATTGTTTTGATTAAAATGTTAGTATCATTTTCAATTTTACCATCATCAAGATTTTGAAATTCCTTTGCTAAATTCGGTCCTATATTTGCAAAGTAGTTATTCATTGTGTTTGCAATAAGTTTTGGATCGGATTGCAGACCATCATTTGTGTTAAGCTTTAATACTTGATTGTTTTTATTATTAGATGGGACAATATGCCTTATATTTTGTCCCATCATAATGCTAGTTATTATGTTCCCACTTTTTGTGCTGTAGACTCAGTTAATGCCTTGCTACCATTCGGACACAAAGCTTTCGAATTTTCTGTACAAGTGATGTACTTACTTTTTTCTGAAGCAGTCTTGATATGGCCCTACAGGACATGTCCAGTGAAGTTTCATGGTTTTCTGGAGCTTGAGTCATGGAAGGTCCAACATCTAAACATATTACTATGCCACACTGTAGAATAATAATTTAAAAAGAATAAAAATCATTTTGATGAGTTGTTTAGAAAAAAATTCTAAAAAAATATATGAAATTATACATATGATATATATATATATATATTATATATATATATATGTATATGATATATGATATTAAAGGAAGATAGCCTTTAACACTGTTGAATAAATATAATATAAATCATCAAAGGTACATATACAGTGTTTAATAAGGACATGTAGCTTTGCAACGAATAAAGTCCTATGAAAAATCATTGTGTAATAAAATTCCTCCGACGGGATTCGAACCTGCGACCTCTCGCTGACAAGGCGAGCGTCATAACCACTAGACCACAAAGGCTTCATGGTTGAACAGGTCCAAATACCCATCAGGATTGGACAGTTTTTCTGATCAAGGAAAGATCATGATTCTGTTTCTTTGTTAGAAGAAAATTTAATTCAAGAAACTATTAATTTTGATCAGGCGATCATCTTGGACGCTGCTGAAAGTGATTTATTATTTGATGGCTCTTCTGTTATAACTGATAAGAATGATCATGCCCTAAGTAATATCACTCAAGCAAACTTTAAAATATTGTATACAAATGCCCAAAGTTTATTAAATAAAATAGACTAACTAAAACTTGTTGTATTTGATAGGAAACCTGATTTGATAGCAATCACAAAAATCGTGGACAAATGATAAAATAGACAATGCAATTTTTAATATTGACGGATATTCTGTGTTATGCAGTCAAAATAAATTGGACACAAAGGATGGGAGGGGAGGTGGAACCTTGCTGTATATTAAGGAATCTATTATTGGGGCTGATACAGGGTTCGAAATAACGCTGGTCCGCCGGCCAATGGCTAGTAAAATGCATGGCGGACCTGTTAATTATCCCAATAACAAGTCTGCGTGACCAGTTAAAATGTCAATGAATGTCTGACGAAATACCTAAAGCTTTAATCATTCACCTCTTAACGATGTCTTTACAAAATATTTCACACAAATAATGTCAACAAGATTGCTATTTTCTGTTTATTGTCATGTTAATGTCCATGGAATCCATGGCTAGACGTACAGAGGGAAATCACCTTCTCCGCATGTTATAGCGACAAGGAGAAGTTGATTTCCGTCTGTGTGAGCACCGTGAAGTTAAAACATCCATGTCATGTATACATCCGACGTGCAACGTGGGACAAAAAGTTAATAAACAACGCAACGATTTCCAGACGAAATAACGCAATAATCACACCCTGTAAATGAACCGTTCGTACAGTCCCAATAGCATTGCTATGGAGATTATCTATTAATTAAAATGACACACCAGTAAAATGTTAGATAAAGCCTTCCATTGTTTTAATAAAGTGCATTATCGCCTATGAATACTTAAAAATCGACTGTAATCAACCTGAAATGAAAAAGAACTCAAAGCAATTGTTTCTACGACGGCTCTTTTTAGTAGATGTTTAATAAGCCTATTTTTACCATCTAGGCCTAGGCTAGGCCCTAACTGGCCTGCCTTATTCGGAAAGATTCAATAGAAATGTTCCACAAAACGATCTTTCCGGAAAACCGAACATCGTAGCGAACATGGTATTGTGAGAGTGCACTGTACATACAAATAGATACCTGTATTTATATTTTGCGGCATAATTTCCCATACAGAGACAACAGAAAGATTTTTCTGTATCTGTCAGTGTTACTTCATCGATGAGGGGCAGCATGATTAGCATGTCAAAAATATGGTACTTATGGGCCTTCCGAAGTTGGCAAGATAGTGGCTAGTGAAAGGGATTGAGGATCAGTAAAAATATTAATTTACTGGTCCACTTGGCTAGTTGAAAAAAACCTTAAGGGAAACCCCTGTGATATTAATGGAATGTTTCAAGGATTTAGTAATTCTTGTTGGGCTGAGATACAATTTAAAAAAGCATAGGAAGTCTATTTTTGGTCGCACTTGAGAGCTGATTTTTGTAGATGCGACAAGAAAATTAATTAGGTCACTGGCAGTGCAACACAATCGTCTGCCTGCACGACTAGTTTTATATGTTGGTCAAAATGTGTTTTTCAGTACTGTACACTGTTTTATGGCATCAGTCATGACTCACACAAAATGTCACATCACATGTTTGTTTATTCATCTATCTTGATTAAAATGACACGATTTGGGTGCAATCTCCAAATTATCCCAGACAGCAAAAACGCGTCTAGCTCAACATCCTTTCACGAACGCATCTGAGAAATCAACCATTCTAATTGCCACAATATATGAATATTCATTTGCTACACGTTTGAGTTACAGCTCACGTCTGGACGACGGTGACTCATTTGGACGCTTCTCAGGGATGTGTGATGTCTCCAGTTCTTTTTACTCTGTATGCAAGTAGTTGCAGAAGTTCTTCCCCTAATGTAAGTATAATTAAATATGCTGACGATATCGTCATGTGGGTTTATAAAAAATGATATATCCAACTATATGAATGAAATTAAACAGCTTGCTACATGGTGCAGCGATCATTTCCTAATTTTAAATGTTAAGAAAACAAAAGAGATTATTTATGATTTTAGTCGCAACCAATCTACACATGATCCGGTAATTATTAATGGTGAATGCGTGGAAAGATTTCATGAATATTGCTATCTTGGAATTACAATTGACGATAAATTAAGCTGGAATGCACACACTGATAAACTGGCGAGTAAGGCAACTGTAAGTTTGGATTTTATTACTTTTTCATAGATCGGTTATTACAGAGTATACTTAATTTTTATTAAATATGCACTTTTGGAAATTTTAGTAAAGAAAATAAGAACAAGTTTGAGAGAGTAAGACGGTCAACAGAACGGTGCATTGGTTGTGATATCACTACGATCAATGCTGTATATGAGGAGAATGTTAGGAAAAAGCTTGATTTAATTATGTTGGACGAATCCCACCCTTTACATAATCACTATGTATTTATGCATTCTGGTCTGAGATTACGAGTACGAGCTCCTCGTTCAACACATAACAGACACAATTTTTCATTTGTAATGAACTCAATTAGATTATATAATAAATATGCATCAAGATAATTTGGTATTTATGATGATGGTTGTAGAAGTAATAATAAATATAATAAAACATTCATATAGAGCATTGATCGTAATAATAATGATTGTAATAATGATTATAATTGTGATAATAATTGTAATAAGAATAATATTTTATGTATTTTCATATATTTTTTTTTTTTTTTTAATTTATTTTTTTTTTTTTCTCTTCTTATATGTACATGTGGCTATACTTTCTCTATGCTTCTATGAAGATTTGTAAATTATATAATGACAACGTGCCTGGAGCTCCAGGGCGCGGTATGCGCTAAGCGAGTTCCATTGGAATTCGCTTTTTACGCCGCTCTGAAGAATAGAACTACGACGTGACTCTAAAAATGACATTTTCTTTGTAAAAGTAAAGGAGGGTACATTGGCATTACAAATCACAAACATACTTCAAATATACTTTAAAGTGCCTCTGCCACCTATTCTGACAATTTCTATAAACTACAGCATGTTTATAATAATAATAATAATAATAATATTTATTCGGCATAAAAGAACAATTTAGCCAGGATGCGAGAATAGGCGAAAGCCCAATCAATGTACTCGCTCCATAGAACACAAAATGAAAAATAACAAATTTAAACTTAGTTACTAAGTTAGTTATTATAAACACAAGTGTTGGTCATATATTACAAATAAAATTGATTTTGTACTAAAAAAATGTGTTTGAAGAGTCATTTTTGAAAGACCTTAGAAACAAATAGGTCACTCAATGACGTCATTGGTGACCGACTTTGCCAAAATTCATCCAAGTGCGAAATCAAAACAAACACTGAAAAAAAAAAAAAAAAAAAAGCGAGCATGGTGGTAATGGAGAATTTCACCTTATCCTCATCGTATGAAGAAACAGCAGATGAGGAAGACAATGACGTTGGCTGTTGTCCATAATTATTTATATGAGTCTTGGTATCAAAAAGAAAAAAATACAGAATATGATAATATATTACGAATCCGAACTCTTAAGGTAGGCCTAGGCTGGTTGTGTGGGAGCATGAGGGAGCGAGCCTCTCGTCGTATCGATAGATTGTTTACGTTACTATCTGCTTTATGGTTGTACAATAATACCAAAAGTAGTAATGAATCGATTTATATATTATTATTATTATTAGTGATTATTACTTAAAAAGGCATAGGGCCTAAGCCCTAGTTTTAGAGAGCTTTGGTAATTACGGTGTACGTCAGAAAGAAAGCACATAGCTACTATCACATCCACCAACTTTTTCTAGGCCCCAAAGTGGGCAGCGGACTGAGCTTGAATTGGTGTGCACCTGATCTATAAATGGGCGTTTCAGTCCATGCATCCTGTTTAATTAGAGTTATTACAGACGTGTTTGTTGAAAAACAAGTGCGTAAATCAAAAGTAGTAAATAGGGCAATAATATTATTATTTATTATTACTGATGGTGATAGTTACTATGTTGTTGCACTGAATAGTACTACAAAATTTTATTATTTTTTAATACTAGGCCAGGTGCTTTTGTACCCGTCATCACCAATTGAAAAATCAATCCGTCAAAAGAATCCAAGCACTGACGATGAGAAACTAGTCATTGTAGCAAAAATGGAAAAGATCGACATGGCAGGCCACTGTATCACTACTATCCACCTTGGTTTTCAAGCATTTGTTTATCATCAGTGTGTGCTCCATTTCTAATACCGATCAAGTAATATGGTGCCAGGGGTGATTCCACATTCGTTACAACATTCGACACAAGTTGGAAAATTAAAGGAAATCCAAATATTGTATGTTAATATTAATAGATATGTGAAATTTTAATAATAATAATATAGTAATACTGTATTAGGACTAGGCCTAGGCTAGGAGGAGGTAGGCCACACTTAATAATAACTTATAAGGCGGCCTTTGGCGAGTAAATAAAAAAGGTACAGTAAACGAGGTGAATTCT